CTGACCGCACAAGTTAAAACTTTTTTCACTGACTCACATAATATGTCTAAGGTTCATAAAAAAAAAAGTAGCTTGATATGTTCTCTGAAAGATTTACGATACAGAGACCAACAAAATGGGGGCGGCAGTAACTCAGTCTGTAGGGGCTTAGGTTGGGAACCAGAGGGTCGCCTGTTCAAGTCCCGGTGCGGACCAAATCTGGAAGTTTGTCTGGTAGCTGGAGAGGTGCCAGATAGCTTCCCGAGCACTGCCGAGGTGCCCTTCAGCAAGGCACCGAACCCCCAACTGCTCTGATGCGCTCTCTGCTTAGCAGCTTATAACAGCCCCACTCTGACATCTTTCCACCAATGCATGTCCACAGGTCCTGTTTGTGCATGTGTGTGAGAAGCATGTCCCTATAAATATCAGAGTGTGAAACCTCAGGGATTAATTAAGTATATCAAAAAATAAATAAAACTAAGCATTTACAAAAAATAAAACAGTATAATATAATAATAATATAATATAAATAAAAACAGTATGGATTCTGTATGTGCAGACGAGACACACCTGTTTCCAATCTGCTCGTCAACCTTACAATAAAAGCATAGGCCTGTATTCAAAATCCCTCTCCTCTCAGAGCATTAGCGTAAAAGATCCTAGGAAGGATTTTTAGTTCAGGAACATTCTCAGGGCAACTCTTTTACAAGGATCTTGTCTTAACTTTAAGGGGAAATTCTTAGAAAATGTCATGATTCTCCAAATTGTCTTAAAATTTGGTCACTAAGAGCAACTCTTCGTATTTTGGAGGATTGTTATGTCAAAACTATTTGAATATTCGTACAGATCCACAAATGTGTAAATAGAGATCCACAAATGCACACACAGATCCACAAATGTGTAAAAAAAAGAAAAATCCACAAATGCGTGTACTAATCTGCAAATCTGTAGACCAATTTCTAAATGTTTACTTATTTATTAATGGCAGTGAACTTTTTCAGCTGTAAATCCTGAAAATACACAAATGACCTCTTACAACTGAGGCCTCTCCATTGGCTGTCATTTTACATACATTTTACAACACTCCTGTAATGTTGATGGCAGCTTTAAGTGAAGCAACAACGCCATCTATGGGTGACACATTTATATAGAGCAGTCATGTAGCTCAGTCATGGTTAGTTAGTCACTGTTTGTGCATGTAACCGGCAGCCTCTGGATTAAAGCCTATACATTGCTACGTCGTTGTCCGCCTGCTTCATCTCGGGGTTTTACAACAAAAACAAATGCGCACACATATCTTCAAATGTGTCTGACGAGCTGCAAACACGACGGGGTTTGTTGCCCTGAGCTCAGGCTCACAGGCTAGGCTGCCAGGCTGCGTAAACTGTAAAGGAAACAAATTTCAAAAACACAAACTATAATGGACCCTCCATCTTAGCCTCCTCAGTAAAAAGCACCCACGACAGCTATCCAGCTCAGTAATGTCCATCTTGAAGCCACTGGGTGCTACCGCGGACTGGCAGCCTAGCCTGTGAGCCTGAGCTCAGGGCATCAAACCCAACAATTGTTTTTAGGAACGAGAGTGAAGGTAAACGAGGTAATAACAAGATCTTTATCTCGTAATAAGAAGAAACCAGGCAAAAAATAAAAAGTATGTCAACATTAACAAACATATTTTGCCCATCATGAGCATTTTACAACTCGGAAACACGTTTTTCCTATGTTTCCTACACCAAAGATTTCTGACTCTATCCACTGTCCTGTCGTGAAAATAAAGGCATAAAAAGCCTCGAAAACAAAGCATTGCATTTGGTAATAGTATGCTTTTTCTCTCCTATAGGTCTTAGACTAACAGTTGAATTTAAGTTCACATTTTAAGTGACATATTCATGCTGTGTACCTTACAATGATAGTGATTCAGATCATCCCAAACACTGCAGGAACTTTTGACTTCTATTACAAATCAGAGAAGACCCACACGCAGAATCACAGGGCAGAGGCAGGAGTAAGGCACAAACTGAGAGTTTACTGAAGTTTTCAGGAAGAGCAAAACTCAGTCCGTCCCAGAGGTCAAAACCAAAAATGAGGATAACCAGGCAGAAGTACAGAGGCATCAGGCAAAAACTCAAAACAGTGCGTTTGATGCTGGACAGGACAGGATTATGGAATAAATACTCATAAAAAATATCTTTCCTCTGGTTTATTTGTAATGTATTTGTTCCGCTTTGGTTCACGTATTGTGTATTTATCCAGCTATTGATAAATCTAACTATAAACTAAATTAACATTAATTAAATACTGAACTTTAGTACAGTTTTGAGGTAATTTAGTCTACTAGCACTACCTATACCTATCCATTCTTTTGTTTGTTTTTCCTTCTTCATTTATGCCACTTAATACAGCTATACTTACACTTATTTGGCTGTTGCTTACTTGAAAAAGTAAGTGTGAAATACTTTTACAAAGCTGGAGACAAATTTAAATTTTGGAAAACATTTTATGAATAAAAATTACAAAAGGAAAACACTTTCACAAAGGACAAAACAAAGTTTAACGCAGTCTATTGGGCCATATTTACCTTTATTTGATAGGACAGCTGAAGAGAGACAGAAAAAGGCTTACACACTTTCAGAAAAATTCTAAAAAAAAATCAGGATATGGTTTCCAGGAGGAGCTGCATGTGTGAACGCAAACAGCCAAATTTTTCATTCAGACTTCACCCGGAGTTTCTCCTGCCACACACCATAGTATTTTTTTCCACAGCAAATCCAAGTCAGCTGATGTGAGAATGCAGCAGGATATTCTCTGGAGAATTCACCTCGAGCCAATGGGAGGGGGGAGTGACGTGTATACTGTGACTGCTGCACGGTGCATAAAGTGTATACACCGTACGATCTCCATGCAGGTAATTAAACGACTGCATTAAGTTTTCTGTTCGTCAGTATGTTGTTCTCACTCTTTAGTTGACATTGTGATACAGGAATAGTCTGCATATGTGAAAACAGGTTAAGTGACCGCTTCTGGCATTTGGTACATTCCCTTTCCGTCAAGATTCTGGCATTTGTAAATTCCTCTCAGCGCTCGTAAAAGTGTTTGACACCTTTTAAATTTGTTTTCTGAAATGTAAATAATTTGTGTCCTTGGTAAAAGGTGTTTTGCTTTTGTGTCTTTGTTTTATAAAATGTTTTCCATAGAGTGAATTTGTCTTTTGGTTTGTACTTCCCAGCCACCGTACAATACAGATTCAGACAAACCATTCCACATCATTCGCATTAATAGAATCAAGAGGAAATCACAAAGCAGTTGGGGTATTTTTGGACACAAATAAGCATTTGACACAATAAATCATGAAATACTGATCAATAAACTAGAACGATATGGCATCAGGGGGGATCGTATCGTAGGCAACAATTTGTGAAGTTGGGGGAGTTTTAATCATCGTGCTTGGACATTGCTTGTGGCATCCCCCAGGGGTCAGTGTTGGGTCCTAATCTGTTTATTTAATACATTAATGACATACTGTATGTAAAGTCTCTAATAAACTGAAGCTGGTCTTATTTGCAGATGATAACAATATTCTTTGTTCAGGTGAGAATCTACAATTATTAGAGGTTATTACTACAGAAATGGCAACAATTAAAAAAGTGCTTTGATAGAAATAAATTGTCATTAAATTTGAATCACATAAAAATTATTTTATTTGGTAAATATAAAGCAAACACAAAAATACAGTGACAAATAGATGGTGTCAGCATTGAAAGAGTTTATGTATACACATTTGTTGGGGTAACAATAGATAAATAAATCACAAATCTCTCCATACCCTCTACAGTACACTTGTTTTACTGTATTTAAGTTACTGAGAGGAGGTTCGGGGAAAACACATAAAAGTTAACCGCATTCACTCTCCGTACTTCAGAAAAGAGCCATAGGCTTCGTTCATAATGCTGGATATCGGGATCACACTCAGTCATTATTCTTGCAGTCAAAAACACTCAAACTCACAGAATTTCAAATAGCACAAATACTGTGCAAAGAAAAAAAACTATTTACTACCAGCAAATATCCCAAAACTATTCTTTGATAGAGAGGGGGGTTACAATATGGAGACAACTGAATCTCAAAATTCTGGCCACACGCACAACATTCAGAAGTTTTTCTGTTTCTATTGTTGGCATAAAACTTTGTAACAGTTTAAATGTGGAGCTGAAGCCAAGTCCAAGCACAAACAACTTTTAAAACATGTACAAAAAAAAAAAAAACATTTTCAGAAAGTATAAGGATGCAGAAGGGACTAAACATTTGCTGCGTGGTTATGATGGTGATTATAACGGTTGTTCATTTTTTTTTAATAAAAGGAATGAAGGTATATATGTAAATATGTTGACAGGTATGGTGAAGGGTAAATAGGTAATGGAGAAAAAACACTAACTTAAATGTATTACTACAACTGTATATCATTAATTAAGGGAGAAGAACATGAATATAGAAGATAAAAGAAATCAATACATGTTAAAATATGTCAATGGTTGATAAATGATAGACAAACAATGATAGACTCTCTACTGCGATGGAGGTGTGCCCATCTTGGACAAGTATAAATTAATTACACCTGTGCATGTTTGAAAAATGAAATTATATTTTGCAGAAACACATTTGTATTTAATTTATATATTTTGTATGTTTATTGGTTTATATATATAAATGTGTATTGCAGATTCGTTATTTATTTATTCGTAAATGAAGATTAAATAAGGAAGCCTGTTCAACTATTAACTACAGATTAACGGAGAGGGGGTGGGATTCTATAAATTCACACTTCTTCCCACTTCTTTACGAACATGAAATTCAAATGTTCTGTTGTCTTATTTACTTTTCTTTTTGTGGATCTGTTTTGTTTGTTTTTTTATCCTGAAACAAAGGGGGGAAAAAAGAAAATACAAATTTGAAAAAAGACTTCAATCAATCAAAAGAATCCCAGCAGAGAAAATGAAAGAATGAGTACACAGATGACAGTAAGATAATAGAAAACAACAGTTGTTTTTAAGGCTGAGTTGACTTCATCATCTTATGTCACTAACAAATCTTATCATTTACATTTGTTTTATCCATAAGTATCCAAATCAAGCTGTCACAAAAAGAGCTACAGATCATTATACTCAACATGGTTTTCAAACAACCAGTCAGCCCAAAGTCCAGACACAAAGTTCAGACTTTTAGATCACTGATTTAGTCTCCTCTTCCTCCTCTTCCTCTTCCTCCATCCTGCATGGAGTAATAAGCATTGTATGATTATTCTTCATCAAAATAAACATTAAAATTAAAAGCAGCTCATTTTTTTAATATGATCAAAGTAAGTGAAAAAAAAAGAAACATGTTATTTATACTTTGTGTCGTTGACCAAAATGTTCATTAATAAAGCAAAATGTCATTTTCTCTGAAGGAGAAGACGGTCCGGCTTTAAAATGTTGATTTACAAAATTTCATCATTAAAATATGAAACAAACATTCATTCATGAACAATAGAGACATGACAATAAAGATCCTTTTATGATGTAAATACATTTTACTCACCAATCAGGTGAGAGGTCGGCCAAAAAACGTTCTTCTTGGACTCGAAGATGTTCCCTCTGTTTCTGCAGACGTTGCCATGTTTGATACCTGCAACAAGAGACACACTGATGATGCTTTCTTTATTACAAATGAAATATGAAGAGCAAAGCAGACACTGAGCAACACATTAAACACTGTGTTGTTTCTTTATTCCATGAATGACACAAAGGATCAAAGTAGAGAGGAGGTGTTGATGTTTCAGTCAAACATTTGACTTGAAAACTCAACATCACTTCAACATCTTTTAAACAGGAGCATGGCGTTTGCTTTACATCAACCATGGGGGTTGTTTCATCTTTAAGGTCTTTGCACACTGAGTCTGTTTTTTTAAAATGTGTTTTTCAGATCTGTAATCCGATCAAAACGTTACACAGGAACCTCACACTCTGAGTCAGATGTGTTCAAACAGAAAAACAAATCTGTTGTGAAAATAATGAATAATAAGATGAAAGTTTTCAGAGTGCAAACATGATCGACTCAACATGAGATTGTATTTGTTTTTTCAACATGCAGCAAAACAGACTCAGTGTGTGTGTGTACAAACATGACTGTCAGGATTCATTGTTAAAAACACTTACCTGGCTGGGTTGCTTTTGTCAGATTTTTTAAAATCAATTATTTTTCCGTTTGACCAATCACTGTGGAGGGATAGATCAGATGGACATGCTGATTGGTCGTCATCACTGAGAAAGCTGAAAAAGAGAGAAAGATTAGATAGTTAGATATCAAATCACAACAACAGATGAAAAACTTCAAGATTAGTCCAGTCAGACTTGATCTGGTTCACTCTGAATGATTAACCCAGCTTCTCATATGGAAATCAAACCTGAGTTTTTTATGAGATATTTCTGAACCAGCAGGAACAATAATTTTATAAATAAGTGAAAATAAAAATCAATTTACCTTTCTGAAGAAAAAAACATTAAAATGATGTTCATAGCTTCATCTGAAAGAATACATACTGTATATGTTGTAAATACATTTTACTCACCAATCAGGTAGGAGACGGGCCAAAACAAGTTCTTCTTGCATTTGAATGAGTTTCTTCTGTTTCTGCAGAAGTTGCCATGCTCGATCCCTGCAACAAGAGACACACTGATGATGTTTCTTTATTACAAATGAAATATGAAGAGCAAAGCAGACACTGAGCAACACATTAAACACTGGGTTGTTTCTTTATTCCATGAATGACACAAAGGATCAAAGTAGAGAGGATGTGTTGATGTTTCAGTCAAAAATGTAAGGTCTTTGGTCTTTAAGGTCTTTAAGGGCTTCATTACCTTAATTCCTACTTAGACCCATCTTCCTTACCAGCACTAGTTCCTATGGTCAAACAATTTAAATATCTGGGAGAGGTCATTTCTCCTTCTCTTAATAGCATTATGACAAACAACTATTGGAATAATTATAAATGTATAACTGTCGATCTAGATAGATGGGTCAAATTCCCCATTTCTCTTCAGGCTCACGTCTCCATAGTAAAAATGGACATCCTACCACGGGTAAACTTCTTTTCCTCCATGTTGCCATTACCACCACTACTGGACATACTAGGACAAGATTCAGTCACTTGTGACTAAATTCATTTGGGGAGGGAAGCGACCCTGTGTTAAGTTATCCACACTGCGATGTCATAAATCATCAGGAGGTCTCTCCGTCCCAAATTTTAAATACTATTCCTGGTCATTTGTCCTAAGGCCTATCTCATCCTGGTTTAACCCTGATGCTGTGGTGTCATGGAAACCTATAGAGGAATACATAGCCCATCCTCATAGATTAAAGGATTTAGTTTACTCTGCCATACCACTAAAACATGCCAAACTCCATCTTAGTCCTATCAATATGGCGCAAAACAGAAAGAGAATCAAAAACAAGTCAGAAGTGGCACACAGCCCTATATTTCATAATAATTCCCTTCTAACTGGGTCTGTTCCATTTGCATCTCCAGTGTGGGAGAGCATCCATACAAGTGTGTACATCCATGTACATCCAGCAAGTGTGGTCTAGGGAACTGGAGGTAGCTTTGGAGGATGATAGTTAGAAAAAGATATGGGGAACTATCGTTGACTCTTCCAAAAACCCAAACCTCCAACTAATACACCTTAACTTCATTCACAGAACCTATCTTACACCCAGGAAACGTTACCTTATGAAACTGTCTTCTTTATCAAATTGTGATCTCTGCCAGATACTCATGTTGGCTCATTTATGCACATGTCTTGGGAATGCATGTAGCAAAATTTTGGAGACAAGTTTGCCTTATTTTATCTAGAATCTTAAATTGTGATATACCTTTGCACTCACACAAACTACCCTACAACTTGCATACTCACAAAAACGCATAATGTTAGCTGGACTTACTGCCGCAAGAAAGATGTTGGCTCTCCGCTGGCAACTTTCACATGTTCTCTCAATATCACAGTGGATTAATACTTATCTTGAGGTAGTTAACATGGAACTTTCTGTAGCCAAAATCCATGGTGCCAATAGAAACACCATATCATCTTGGACGTTGATTTTAACTATAATTGAAGCATTATTAACTACCAATAAGTAAAAGAACTGTGTATTATTGAGAAACAAGTGAATGTTAATGTGATGAATTGCCCTTTAATACTTGGTGTTTTCTACATTTCCCAAAAGACTTAATACACCTCAATTCATAAACTGTTACCTGTGTTGACATATGTGGATTTTATTTTGAATGTGTAGAGAAATGTGTTTTGAGTGTATGAACATGTATGTGCGAATACATGCATCCATATGCAGATGCAATTACATCACATATGCAATATGTAAAATAATGTAGTCAGGGGAGTGCGACTTTCTAACTAAGTTAGTTGAATTGTAGCATATTTTCCAGAACTTGTGTATATAGTTGGAGATCTTGCGGGGGGGGGGGGGGTTTGGTCGCCACGGGAAACAGGGAGTAGGGAGGATTGACAATCTGCAGCTATAAATAAAACTGATTATAGAAATGCAGATTAGGTTTTGCCTAATAATGATATGTTTGAGAAATTCATAATGTTGATTCCTCAGATATGTGATATATAAATGTATATGTTGCCTGAACATGAAAATCAATAAAAGTTAGAAAAACAAACCTGTTCTGAAAATAATAAAGACAGATGAAAGTTTTCAGAGTGCAAAAATATCGACTGGAGATTGACATGAAATTGTGTAAGTTTTTCAACATGCAGCAAAACAGACTCAGTGTGTGTGTGTGTACAAACATGACTGTCAGGATTCAATGTTAAAAACACTTACCTGTCTGGGTCGCATTTTTCTAATTTTTTGAAATTAATTAATTGTCCATTTGACCAATCACTGTGGAGGGATGGAACAGATGAACTTGGTGATTGGTCGTCATCACTGAGAAAGCTGAAAAAGAGAGAAAGATTAGATATTAGATATCAAACCACAACAACAGATGAAAAACTTCAAGATTAGTCCAGTCAGACTTGATCTGGTTCACTCTGAATGATTAACCCAGCGAGAGCGGGCGAGAGCGGCTTCGTTGGTTCTCCGTCGAGTGGAAAGATGTCCTTTGATGTCCTTTCGTTGCAGGACGGAATAAGACCGTTATCTTTCTGATAATCTGTTATAGTCTGACGCTCTTCGAGAAACTGAGATGCGTTCACTCTGAATGATTAACCCAGCTTCTCATATGGAAATCAAACCAGAGTTTTTTAATGAGATATTTCTGAACCAACAGGAACAATAATTTTATAAATAAGTGAAAACAAAAATCTATTTACCTTTCTGAAGAAAAAACATTTAAATGATGATCATAGCTTCATCTGAAAGAATACATACTGTATATGTTGTAAATACATTTTACTCACCAATCAGGTGGGAGACGGGCCAAAACAAGTTCTTCTTGCATTTGAATGAGTTTCTTCTGTTTCTGCAGAAGTCGCCATGCTTGATACCTGCAACAAGAAACACACTGATGATTCTTTATTACAAATGAAATATGAAGAGCAAAGCAGACACTGAGCAACACATTAAACACTGTGTTGTTTCTTTATTCCATGAATGACACAAAGGATCAAAGTAGAGAGGAGTGTTGATGTTTCAGTCAAACATTTGACTTGAAAACTCAACATCACTTCAACATCTTTTAAACAGGAGCATGACGTTTGCTTTACATCAACCATGGGGGTTTTTCATCTTTAAGGTCTTTGCACAACGAGTCTGTTTTTTTAAAATGTGTTTTTCAGATCTGTAATCCGATCAAAACGTTACACAGGAACCTCGCACTCTGACTCAGATGTGTTCATTCTCTTCATTCTGAAAATTGTCAGTGTGAGACAGAATGGAGTCATCGAGCCGTGAGGATGACTTTGTGATTCTTTCAGTCCTTAAAAAATAAATAAATAAAAACCTCTGGGTCCACCCACTCCTGAAAACAAGACAAGAGCCAGGAGAGTTTCCCCTGTTGATAAAAGAGCTGCAGAATGCTCAGCATCACTTCAGGTGTATTCAGGATGTCAGAGTTTGATACGCTGCTAGCTATACTGAAACTACACATTAAAGGAACACCACCAATTTACACACAGAAACTGATCCTGAACACGGATTGGAAGATGCAAAAAAAGTTAGAAAAGCAAACCTGTTGTGAAAATAATAAAGACAGATGAAAGTTTTCAGAGTGCAAACATGATCGCTCAACATGAGATTGTATTTGTTTTTAAACATGCAGCAAAACAGACTCATGTGTGTGTTGTGTGTACAAACATGACTGTCAGGATTCAATGTTGAAAACACTTACATTTCTGGGTCACATATTTCTAATTTTTTTAAATCAATCATTTTTTCTTTTGACTGATCACTGTGGAGGGATGGATCAGATAGACATGACGATTTGCCGTCATCACTGAGAATGCTGAAAAAGAGAGAAAGATTAGATAGTTAGATATCAAACCACAACAACAGATGAAAAACTTCAAGATTAGTCCAGTCAGACTTAATCTGGTTCACTCTGAATGATTAACCCAGCTTCTCATATGGAAATCAAACCTGAGTTTTTTATGAGATATTTCTGAACCAGCAGGAACAATAATTTTATAAATATGTGAAAACAAAAATCAATTTACCTTTCT